GATCATTCTGTGAAACCTGAATATAGCTTCTTTTACCTCGCGGCTAATATCTTCTTGTACCTCAGCATCCATCACTGTATACAAACAGTTACCGAGGAAGGTAACAACCACGTGATCAAACTAACACATGTCTACATTAACAAGACAAACATACAATAATTTCCCGCCTTACTAGCGAATTGCGTGAAATATTAAATCTCGTTTGTGTAAAAAAAATGTTTTTTTGTCTGAATAGCATTGAATTCAGTGGCCACTCCTCGCAGCCCCTTAAACAAGTTTTTCGGGCAAAAATCCCCCCCCCCCCCATGCCTTTCGGACGTGAACCTCGCTCCACCACTGATTGAGTAGTTATTATGGTATTATATTTTTAGTTTCTTTCATTATTAAGTAATAACAACAATAATACAATAATAAAAATAGTGATTACGTAGTCAAACATTTTAATATACATTAAAAGTTGGGTTAATGTTGTAAAACATTAAATAAAGATGTGTTTAAAATATGTAAATAAAGGAAGGTGTACATAGGGCCTACTATAGAATCGTAATTGTATATTAAACATAATACTGTTACTTACATAAATAAAAAAATATTTTAACGTTAAAGTAGTTCTCAATACATCAGATGTAGAGCCATATATATATAATAAAACAAAACCTGAAACATGTTACTCAGAGATGGCACAGTGAGAAACTCTGAGAAACATGTTTCAGGTTCTGATATAATATACTATTTCAAAGGCACTTAATGATATAAATAAAAGTATTCTTATATAAAAAAACCATAAAACATTTTGTTTACTAGGATAGTAAAGGACAGACCTGTGTATTAATAAAACCGACAAGAAAAACACGTTTTTTTGCAATTCCACAGTAATAAGTGTTTGATGACGTCACTAATTGCAAAATATAAGTTTTACACAGTTTTACTGGAATATCAAACTGATATCAGTGTCTCCGATCACATTTTATTATCATTATAATACACTGTATAAAACACACTAAAACATAAACAAATAGAATATTAAACATATAAAATATTAAATATAGAATACAGAACATGCAAACCAAAAATTAACAACAAAAAAATGAATAAACAGGAAGCAAATAAACTACTAAATACATCATTAAAAATAAAAGAATATACTTGTACCATCGACATTTACAATTATTCCATTTTTTTACAATCCCTTGTAAGTCTAGACGGTTTCAAATAGAAATATAAAATAATAGAACAAAACAACAATATTTACAATACAGTACATTCTAAAGTTTACAGTTCAAAATATCAGAAAAAATATTTGAAAAAATTGATATTTATTTGTATTGAATGTTTCTAGGAATATATAATGTTAATTATTGACTAGTAAAATTAATGAATCGTATTAAAGTGTTAATTACCAATATGGTTCGAATTTGAATAATTTAAAAATAGTCTAGGACAAACAAATGAGTAGATTAGTCTTATAAATTTCATATCACTTCTGTCCAATTTTAAACATCATATCATATGAAGATTGATCTAAATCATATAGTCAAGAGTTTTTAGTTTAAAAATATCATAAATCCTATTAAAAGTTTGGAAAGTTTAATAATTTGCAAAAATTATATCTGATAATCAACTGGAGAAAAGTTTCTTTCTGAAGTACGGTGGTTTGTATGCGACATCATTTATCATAAAAACTTAAAAGTGTTTTTTATTAAATATTATTGAATTATCACCGAGTGAAAATACAAGTTTTTAATTCAAAATATTCCAGTTTTTTAATTCAAAACTGAAAAAATAAACGATGTCGTATACAAACCAACCATCGTACTATGGAGAGTATTTTCTATTGCCTATTTTTCTTAATCTGATCTTACTGGGTTTTTTTTCTTGAAAGACGATGTTGTAGAGACAAGCAAACTTTACAAGTGACTGACAACGAAAGAAAATAACAAAACACGGGTTTTCGTAGTAAATCAAATCCACCTAATCACACCAACCGGGCCATAAAAATTGATATAATGAGCATTAAGAAAAAAAACGTAAGCGCCCTGCAATAGATTTAATAAATGGCCTACAATGAACGTTGAACGGTTGAACTCCGGAACGCTAGCACAATTTCACTACGTAATGTAGATTTAAATCTACGGAAACAGCCGAATGTTACCGAAAGGTGTTATTTTTATGACCAGTATATTTACCCATAAAACGGTCGTTAACTATTGCATTCGTGAGATTAATCACATTTTCTTTTAGAAAACGGGACCAAGCACGTCAAGCAGAAAATACATCTATTTTGTAGTGTTGCTTCGGATAGCCCGGTGTTTGTTGTGGTCGGTTTAAATTTACTACTTACACAAAACCCAAAAATTCATAGAGTTTACTTCATCTACATAGTAAATTTCATTATTCTATAGCTTTCAATTTGAAATGACCTCACTTCGGTTTCTTTTCCCAATTTAGAGAATACCAATTCATCACTTTGAATGGTATTGGAATTGAAACTGGGTTGAGGGGAACCAAATCAATAAAAAAAACACACTAATGACAGGGATAATTTCACGTTTTTATTTCATTTTTATTTTTTTATTTTTTTCTATTTTTTTCATATTTTTTTTTCTCTTTTATATTTGTTTATATTTTTGTTTAAACTTAAAAAGATATATTGTCATCATTATAATAATGGATTATTTTGTGTATTACAGATTTTATCTTTTTTGTTACACATTATAATATTTTGAGTATTTTTCTTTGATTCCTGATATTATCATTTTCATTTAATTTGATATTGTTTTTGCTTTTTTTTCTTTTTTTTTCTTTGTTTTTTATTGGCTGTTTTTTAAATGACACAACAACGTGAAAAGATCCCTATTCATTTTGAACTTCTCAGTCCGCTACTTAACCTTATTCTTTATTCTAGTAACAGACCAAGCTTGCTTCCGATTTCATCAAGTTTAAAGCTTTTATATATAGATGTAATTAGGGTTAACTACTAAAATATTGATCATTAAAAAACGATGATCTTTGATTTCGCTGTTGATGATTTCAGAACATTTTCATCATCGTATTTTTTTTTTTTTTATTGTGAATTTTTTTTTTTTTTGTGAATTTTTTTTTTATCACATGTTTATAATTTTTTTTTTTTTTGGATCATTATACTTAACTAATTATGACTTTTGTGTGAATCTGGAAGCAATCCTGGTCTGCTATTGAAATACAGAATAAAGGTATAAAAGTATCAATTTGTTTTAATTAATAATTAATATAGGGTTTTATTGTTTAACTCGCTTGATCTCACCGCTATGGTAGCCCTAAAGATTGCCAAGTTAAACCCCTATTTTTGGTCACCAAGGACCATTTTACACTTGTTAAAGTGTTACGATTAATGATAAATAAATGATATGAAATGAAATAAATGAATATCCTCGTCTTGAAAGTTGATCAAAAACTGAATCAATTTTAATTGTTAGATGTAGAGTGATTGTAGTCATTGTGTTAAATGGGATGATTTAAATAGGATGATTTAAATAGGATGATAAATATCACAGATGCTTGACTTCAATGGCTTTGTATTTATTTGTGCATATTACCTTTTTCAGAATCTCTAAAATATCCTTTTATTCAAACATGCATTCTTGCATTCGGCTGTTTTCCATTCTTAATAATTTTGGACTTGGGACTTCATTCAGTTCTAAAAACTTGCTCCAAACACGTTAAAATTAACTTCTACATAGATAAGCTATTAAGTTTTTCCGGATCTCTATTATTCACGAATTTTCCTTTAATTCGGTTGTTTACCACTCTTCATCACTTTGAACTTGGGACTTCATTCACAGTTTATCCGGAAAACACTTGCATCAAACATTTTTAAATCAGCTGGCACATAAGTTGATTACTCATATTGTAAGTTAATCTTAGTCCGATGTTCATTTCTGTTATCTATTTATTCCGGTTATTTGCATTCCGTTATTTTCACTTTCTTAAATGTTGGACTTAATACACACTCATAATCAGTAAAAACTTGCATCAAACTCTACACTTTAATTTACTATAAAGCTATTCATTTATTCTGGATCTTCATAATTCACGATTCATCTGGCTATTCAAACCTGTAATTCTTGTTTCTGATGTTTTCCACTCATCATAACTGTAGACTTTTGGACTTCAATCATAATTCTGAATTAATTATAAACTTGCATCGAACACGATTAAATTTGTCTTCATAAAAAATGATCACGATACCTTTTATCTTAACAAGCATGTTTTCTGTTTAACATAGCCGCCACATATATAGGCTCACTACTGTATCAGTGCTGTTAACGATAACTCCAAATCAGTGCTGTTAACAATAACTCCAACACATTGGTAAGAATCAGTGCTGTTAACGATAACTCCAACACATTGGTAAGAATCAGTGCTGTTAACAATAACTCCAACACATTGGTAAGAATCAGTGCTGTTAACAATAACTTCAAATCAGTGCTGTTAACTATAACACCAACACTAACACGATGTAGACATTATAGTTCACATACACATATTCCAGTGATATGATTTACGTACAAACACGATGCTCTTTTTTATAACTATTCGCAGAAAACCTGAATGTCTTGATTGGTATCCAATGACATAGTATAGATGAATTTTTTTTAATGAAATTTCACATTCAAATAAAGGTATTGTTCTTACAAACTTTCATCTTTTATAGTTCAGAATAGCACAAGCTGCTAAAGACTTTAACGGATATGGTTAAGGATCGGTTGAATCTTTAGCTAGACGTGGATGGTAAATGGGAGACTAAAGAATGTTTAAACTGGTAGATGTTAGTCAGACAATTGGGCATACACCCATATTTATGAACATGTTGATGGTTTCATAGCTTTTGTATTGAGGTTGGTAAAGCTGGTGGTCTTATATTGTAATACACCATGTATTATATAGCCCATATAATATGAAAATCAGATTGAGGAAAATATAGTCTGACATTGGTGACAAAACGTCCCCCCAGTTTGAGTTTATAATTCAATTGAACAAGAATCGATTTCCTCTAGATTCTCCAAACCATGTCCTTTCGGAGCATCTTCTTCAATATCCTTCTTGGGTCCCGCAAATGTACAAAATCCACTGTCATTTGACAAACTCGGGATACGATTTGACATGGACGCAGGATTTGATTTCCGTGAACGTATCATTTCTGGATCTTTCGTATTTTTTGAAATTTCTCCACCCATTTCCAGTGGTTTTCCTGAAACATGTTTATTAGTAGTAATTTGTTTAGTTTCATTCAAGTTTTCAGTCCGATTGGTGTTCTCCGAAGAAATTGTAAAAGTTCGTAAATCAGTCAAGGGTTTTATTTCTTGTACAATGTCACTGGATTCACATGGTTGCTTCCCATACGCTGAAAGTCTGTATGAAATGGAGCTGGATAGCCCCATTGTTTGGAACCCAGGCGGTATGTGAACTGGTGATGGTGACATACTTGACTGTATCTCTGATGCCCCTTTCTCTTGGGTTTTTTGCATCATGGGTAATTGGTTTTCAGATGAGTCGTTCCCTTGCGTTTTTTGCATCAAGGGTAATTGCTTCTCGAATGAGTCATTCACTGGTGATTTTTGTCTCACGGTTGAGACGGTAACGCGTGGCTCGTTTCGGGATGATCCTTGCCGTCTGACTGATTGGATGCCGGGTGTTTCTATCCCAGGTGAGAGTTTCTCTGTTGATTCGTTAAAGGGCGTGTTGTGCCCGGGTGATTTCTGGTCGAGTGATTCACTTGCGCTTGATGAACTCTTTTCTGGTTGGTTTTCAGATGTTTGTTTCTGGGATAAACAATCAATATCATCTTGATCTAATGTGTAGGGAACTGGAGTTTGGTTTATGGAATCTTGTATTCTGAAATACAGAAAGAAGAGATTTCGTGATGAATTCGGGTTATTGGTTATTGAATAATCAATCAAAGCTTTTTTTAAAATATTACAACTGACTCAGGATCATTTTAACTCTTACCAAGAGGCGAATGAGACTCTTCTCGAAAGCACTGGTCAGAATTTCGTCTCACAATTATCTAATCACCAAGCAGTGTTACAGACGAAATTTGCTAATGAATTAACGTACCAAGTGCCATATATCTATATAAGAAGTTGTTTTTGAATCAGCTCGGAATGTGAAATATTGGTCTTTTGGTGTAAAAATATTTAGCAGACTTACTTTATAGAATAAGCCTTACTTTCTTCTAAAATATCTTCTATTGGCGACCTGAAAAACAGAAAACTAATTTAAAATGCTTACAGGATAGAGAAGATAGGTTACTATAGGATCCTATGATTGATATACTTCCTTGTGTGAAAAGTTCGCTGCTACCGATGTTTCGCCAGTATGTTGTTTTGGATTTCGGGTTTTGTTTTGCGGTTCAGATCGTTAGTACTTGGTTTATTCATTAACAATGAAGGAGTAGGAGTAAAACAAATACGCCTCCTGAACAGGAGTGAGAAACCAGCGACGGTAAAATTCTAAACCATGAAAATCCGTACATGAATAACGAGCAAAGCACAATAACGAACCAAATGAAATGAATGGAGTTTTACGTCCTTCTTTTCTGCACCATGTTAATAGCGAACCAAGAGCGACCTCCAGACTCTGTTACTGTATATACGATAACAACAGGAATCAGTAGAAGTGTTAAACTGTGTTTAACATTTAAATAAAGGGCTAGCTACTGGAAGTGATATTGGTCACTGAATAACGTCTCCTAAAAATCTGTTATTACCTGGGCAACGGCGAACTTTTGCTAGTTTTTACACTGAACTCCCTTGGCTTACACTCTGGTAGCGCACCCATCAGGCTGTAATGAAATGAAATCGAGTTTTAATCCAAAAATCACCACACCATATTCATTCGTCACACCTGATTGAAGTCAAGGTCATAACATAGTAACTATAAGGCAAAGGTGGGTTTAAAAATGCATAATTGAAAAAGGGGACACTTATTATGTATGGTAGCAGTTTCTGAACAATCACGCGTCTAGACTAGTTACCAAAACTTAGAATTTAAACAGTTGAACATATACCTGATGACGTCACAGCTTAAGGTAACCTATCAAATTTAATATTCAAAATAAATTACGATATGAATCGCTGGGAACTGGACTGAAGAATTTCCCAAATAGCATAGCATAACACACTAGCATGAAACATTGCAAATGTTCTGTAACCTAGATACCAAGAAATAGACTCTACCTTTTGGATGGTGCCACATTCAGTTTCATCTTATGTTGGTCTTGGTGGTTTCCAAATATTTTTGTTAAAAACTGTAAATACAAAAATGAAATGCACATTAAATAAGAATTTTTAAATTTTACATTCAACAATGTTAAGTCTTTAATTGACGTTTGGCAATTGTAAGTATTATCTATATACGTGCCTCAAGTATATGTTCACCCAAGCCGCTCAAACATTCAGTTCAGAACCAAAGCCCCAAGCAGACAATAGTACAACAGTGGACAACACTGTATAAGATAGAGTTAGGTGATGTCTGGTGTTTCTATAAACAGACAATAGTACAACAGAGAAACACACTCTAGAATATAGACCAGAGTTATGTGATGTAAACCCTGTGTAAGGTGATTCTTAAACAGACAATAGTACAACATCCTATGCATTATAGCCCACAGAACTGGAATATGGATACGATAGGTTAATAGTGTCATGCTTTATAAATAAGGTGCAAGCCGGACCCCGCTATAAAAAAATACATTCAAATAAAATTAATAAGTATGAAGATTAAGGGTGAGGCATTTAAGAGAAATGTAAAATTATATTTTGGTGTTAAATAAACATTCTGGGTTATATGAAAATTATACTAGAAACATTACAACAGAACCTAAAAACACAGGTAGCTGTTTCTCACAGTTTCACGCGATGCCATCTCCGGAAAATCGAACGCATATATAGCATGAAACTTTGAGTAACAACAACATCTTTCAGGTTCTGTTTTAATATTTCTATATCTATCTAAAATGTATATTATTGAGCGCTATTTTAACACTGAAAGTAATTTATTGAAAATTATTCTAAATAATAATTTTTATCTATGCGAACTCTCTCAAATTGGCGTGCCAAATTAACGAACATAAGTAATAAAAGCATTATTAGGTTTGTGAACTGAGTTTAACTGGGTTTAAGTTGTCCTGAATAATCAATATTTTAATATTTAGAATAATAATACTTTTAATTATAAACAACTAATCCAAAAGCTGAAAATAAGAACATCATTCACTTTCACTCTGACCTTTAATTTGACAATGACCTTGACATTGACCTCGAATTAATTTGGTTTCATTTTAGCAATATGAAATTCAATTATCATTCTTTGAAAATTAGATTGGGTTATCTGTTATTAGCTGAAAATGATACAATATTAAACTGATTATTGAGTGATATTGTGATGCTATTTATAAGTAGATAAGATTCAGAAAAAAACCATTACATTAGTCCTTGACTTGAACATTGACATTGATTGACATTGATTGACATTGATTGACATTGATTGACATTGATTGCAGGTTAAACATTTATGGCACGTTTTTCACCTTAACCTTCTCTCTAGACCTTGGCTCTAATATTATATATTTTGATAGTGTGAATAATAAAAAAAACACTCATATCATCTTGACCTAAAAGCTGACAAATATAAATCTAGAAAGTTGTCCTTGACTTTTATCTAAAATGTAATTTTATCTCGATTCTATCGATTCTTTTATACTGGGGTCCAGCTTAAAATTGTTAAAAGTATAACTATAAGTTGAAAATTATGCAAATTGAGGCCTATAATAGTAAAATTACAGGTTCAAATAGCATTGTACGAAAAATTCTTCAATATAGATAACATTTCATGTTATTTCGATAATAGGATTTCCGATAGTTTTGATATTGGTTCAGGTGTTTCTTATTTTCTCAACCACCGATTGGTTCCCCCTTCTAAAAATGGTATCTTTTATAAGTTGCGTGTATGTTATATCATGTTCAGTAGGTTTGAAGCCAGATTTTCCTGAAAATAAATTTAGTTGATATAGATATTTTAATATCAGCTTTACCACCAGAGAGAATATCCGGACCGACATCGGAATATCTTTTAAAATGAGATTGAGCTCTATCAGCTGGTAAAGTAAATATTTAGATGACTATACAGATAGCTGATATTGAGTTCTATCAGCTGGTAAAGCAAACATTTAAACGACTATATCCATGGGTTAACCCGAATATTGCATGGCCGATTGCATCGGGCTAACCCCTAGGGATGTCACTATTAATGTTACCTTTTGATCTCATAACAATCGTATCATAACAATCAGCTTGATCGGTGGCGTGGGTTCGAATCCTTTAATCTACAGTTTAAAACAGAAACACCCGAAAGGTCACAAACTACAAAACATTCTCATTCTAAACACACAAAACAAACACCAAATGATAGACTATAATACCCAAAGCAGCCGGACAACTAAAGCTATAGGCCAGGAAGCCAAAAATTTCTAGGAATGCAGGACTGTGCCAAATTGTTTACTTTCTGCAGACTTCGTGTTTTTCCAAAACTAAAATTTTAGTCAGTTTTTGTGACATAAAATTGGTATTAGAATGTTTTCAACCTAGGTTTTCATTATCACCGGAAATCACGTTGAAAAAAACGCCATTTCCGGTAGTGTTATGTGTAATTGAAATAACTGTAATAACCGATTGTGCAGATTGTGTACGTGCCCTCTACCTAAATGGCAAACCCATAAAATCTATTAAATTAATTAAACTAATGGTTAGAATCAAATTAAGTGAGACTCGTTGGCAAATCATGATCAAGTTCAAGAGAAATCTAAATCTAAAAAAAGCTTAGGATAACATAAGTTTGCGATGTTGCCATCAACCAGTTTGACCTTGACCAAACCTAGTGACAACGATGTTTCCCGGATTATTCGTACCCTTTTACAGTGTAGTAAAATATCAATAATCCCAACAATTATGAGACGTTCGCACGAAATAATTGGCAATAACTAGCTAGCTAAAATGAGTCTTTCAGTAGTAGGTTTCTAATTTAGAACTGCCAACCAAGAGAGAGCGCAAGAGTAACACACAGTCAGGTTTGTATAATAATTTAAAATAGACGAAGGTTGGTTGTAAAAAAACAAGGTACATAAAGGTGAGTAAATTGATTAGATAACTAGATATATTAAAGAGACAGTGATGATAAAAGCTAATAATTAAATTCTGTGACCTAAACCTTTACCTCGGAAAATTTATGTTGACACTTTCTCCTTAATTCCTCTAGGTCGACTAAATCTCGTTCAATTTCGGTCATTTTTCTCATAACGATAATATACATCCTAATAATAAAATAAATTTTTATTTAATGAGATTCTATCATTTAAAAAATGTGAGAAATTCATTCATTCATTCATTCATTCATTCATTCATTCATTCATTCATTCATTCATTCATTCATTATTCATTCACTCATTTATTTACAATGTACTACATGTTATGATTTGCACTAGAAAGTAAAAATGACGTAGCATGTCCAAATACATTCATTTTGACTTCATGACATACAATTTTATAAATTGACTTCTCTTTGTAGGATCTTACAACTATACTACTTTTACTTTCGATTTCGCCATTGAGATTTTGATTGACGGAATTGTCTTGATTTTTATCACTTAATCATTCAAAGTGTTGTTATCATTTTCCAGGATTGCGTTCTAATTTTATTTCTTACTTCTTATTTCCGGAGTACAACTGAGCAGCTTTCTTTCTGTCTTCAGCACAACTTGTCTGCCAGTAATCAATACATCTTGCTGTCAATTCTTGCATCTCGATTCTGAAATTACCATACTGTGTGTAATGTGAAATAAAAACTATATTGAATGGTTTTAAATACAGAGCCTTACTAAAAAGTGCAAACAAGAGCAAGATACGATAAACAATCCTCAATATACGAGGAATCATAACAAAACACATCCCCCCTCCCCCCCAAAATTCCAGTAATTTTCTAACTTTATATAATGAATAAATAAATAATTACACTGTCCCTTTTTTTAATTTTTCCATATTTTTGCATTGTTTGCACTTTTTTTCATTGTTGTTTATTTTAGATTGCACTGTGGCAACATAATACAAGTTTTAAAATATCAACATTACAAGTGAAAGACATGGTACGGTGTGCGGTGTACGATGTACGATGTGGTATTCTCGATACAGTAAATAATAGTAGAAGCGAATCGTCTCCGTAACCCTGTCAGGACCCAAACCACGTATGGTCGCTTTTTCTACTTTTTACTGATAATCTCGCACCGTACTCTACACCGGAAACCGGACAACATACACGGCGAAATGTGTCTATCCAATTCGAACCATAAGACCTTCTATTAAAAATCATCTCAATATGGTTTTTGTATCAAAGTGTGTTTCGTCTTTAATCGTTTCCAGTTATCTTATATCTTAGTTGTTGTACCAAGTCAAGGAGAAAGACATTCTAGATGGAGCAAGTTGTAATCTTTTCAGACGATTCGTGGTTTGTTTCCTTTTTTCACGAATCTTGGGTAAGTGGTTACAATAATATTTTATCTGTTTTTTCAATTATCCTGTCGTCTTTGCATACTAATCATTTTTATTGAAGAAATAAGAAGACATTCTGGCATGCAAATTATCAAAAATATTTTACTTGTCAGCTTGGTGGAGACTTGTTTCATATTCATCCAAAATGCTCTTTTTCCTCCCTTGTATCCGGTGTAACAATTCTTGCGATCTGTCGAATATCGCATTGGTCAGCTTGAACCTTAAAAAAAACATAGAATCATGAGGATCCATCTACCAACTGGCCCTTGGCCAAAATCTTGGCATTGATCTTTCCCGGATTTTCTGTACCCATTTACAGCTGGGTCGACTGGAATGATGAGGAAACATGACTTATTCAATACCCTTTTACGAGTACAGCTGGGCTGACTGAAATAATAATAAACCTCCTCACCCCCACCCCACCGCATCCCAAGTGGCGCCGCAACTGTCTGAACTAGACTCGCCACAGCTTCAACCCTAAGGAAATACTTACCAGTCATTATCAAGCTCCTCTGGCATTTGAAACGATAACTTTTCATGCCCCGTGTTCTCAATCCGAGTCTTCACCGATTTTAATCGATCATAAAACTGATAAAATAAAATATTTATGTCTTTTCTTAAATTTAGTAATTCTATAAGCTTATCTCTCTACAATTGATGTATTGAGCACTATTTTAACAGTGGTATTTCTATATCACTCTACAATTGATGTATTGAGCACTATTTTAACAGTGGTATTTCTATATCACTCTACAATTGATGTATTGAGCACTATTTTAACAGTGGTATTTCTATATCACTCTACAATTGATGTATTGAGTACTATTTTAACAGTGGTATTTCTATATTGCTCTATAATTGATGTATTGAGCACTATTTTAACAGTGGTATTTCTATATCACTCTACAATTGATGTATTGAGCACTATTTTAACAGTGGTATTTCTATATAGCTCTACAATTGATGTATTGAGCACTATTTTTACAGTGGTATTTCTATATCGCTCTACAATTGATGTATTGAGTACTATTTTAACAGTGGTATTTCTATATTGCTCTACAATTGATGTATTGAGCACTATTTGAACAGTGGTATTTCTATATCGCTCTACAATTGATGTATTGAGTACTATTTTAACAGTGGTATTTCTATATTACTCTACAATTGATGTACTGAGTACTATTTTAACAGTGGTATTTCTATATCGCTCTATAATTGATGTATTGAGTACTATTTTAACAGTGGTATTTCTATATCGCTCTATAATTGATGTATTGAGCACTATTTTAACAGTGGTATTTCTATATCGCTCTATAATTGATGTACTAAGTAAAGTGTCAAATAGTATAGAAGAACAATGTGACTCACCTCAAAGACATTCATATTCTCAAAGACGGACTTCATGCCATTTTTTAAAGATCCCTCGAATTTACTCTTGGTAATGTCGAACAGGGATCTTATCTGTCTATAAATTTCAAACCACGGTTGGTATTTCTTCTCTATTCGATAATTTTTATGTTGGATGATGGTCCTGCAAAAACAAAATATAATGAAGTTGAAAAAAATGAAATTAAACTAAATCCAATTTGAATTAAATTAAATCAAAACAAATTTAATACATTTATTTATATATATTTTTTAATATATTTATTTATTTATTTATTTATTTTTTTATTTTTATTTATTTTTTTATTTATTTTTATTTATTTTTTTGTTTATTTATTTTTTTATTTATTTATTTATTTTTTTATTTATTTATTTATTTATTTTTTTATTTTTATTTATTTTTTTATTTATTTTTTTATTTATTTATATATTTATTTTTATTTATTTTTTTATTTATTTATTTTTTTATTTATTTATTTATTTATTTATTTATTTATTTATTTTCATTCATTCATTCATTCATTTATTTTCATTCATTCATTCATTCATTCATTTATTTATTTATTTATTTATTTATTTATTTAAAATAAATTTATTAAATTTATTTATTTTTTATTGTATTTTGTTTAACCCACCACATTGTTAACATAGCCATATGTAGACCATTGATGACGCTTTTCTGTGTTTGCATTTTCTTCAGGACGGTGTGGATCATTTCACATTGACTTGTTGCTGTTGTAATATCAGTAGCTATTGTGGAATTGGAATGGAACGTCGGGTACGGATCTGCATTAAATAAAAGACTTGATTTTAGTGAATATGTTTACATGTATAAGTATTTTAATTACGGATATCTTGCTTTTTTATCCTTGAGACAAAAGAAATATTGTATGACATTGTGTCACACATAAAACGTAAGCGAAGCGTCACAACATTCAAAAATAATATACAAAATAATAGTACATATCTATACAAACAGGAAGTACATTTGAGCCTTAATTCATAAACACTATAAGTGATTTTACGTCGAGAAAATCATACCAAGGGATATTGTAATTCTGTGTTGGTGTCTCCGGTTTGTGAGAGTAGAATAATCGGGTTCTGAAAACTAGTCTGAGGAAAATATTGGACTTGTGTTTCGCCGGACAGGAAGACCTCTAATCGATGTTGGTGAAAGTACAGTTTCTGATTGGTGCGGGAATGTCGGTTACTCGAGCTATTTCATCTCCTAGCTCAACCAGGCTGAAAAATTTTATTAACATTGTAATGGTCGAGGCACTTAAAATATAAGTTTCTGACCAATTTTCGATTTTTTTGTTTTTAATGGTTTTAGAGTATATATATATACTATAATTTGATTGAAAATATGCACGTGTGTCTGATGACCTAAATTTACCTTGATGTTGGGTTCAGGTAAAATTCGTGCACTGCTTTATCATCACAGTTCAATACAACCATATATTTCATTTTCAATATAGCGCTGACTGTATTTTTATACAAGACAAACGACCATTGTTTAGAGGTGTCGGCTTCCAATAACCCTACTAAAATTCTTAAAATATATTTCTGTAACGATCTGAAATGAATACAATAACAATTTATTTTCATTGACGATTCAGCCACGAATATACAGTCGAAGCTTCTCTTAATTCAATTTTTCGAAAATTTCTTGAGAAAACACTTCCAAGCGCTCCACTGTGACAACTCTACAGAAATCTCGCAATTTTAATTCACGCTCCACAGTTGTCCGCCCATTCAGTCAGTCTACACCGTATTTGTACCCCCAATCGCAGTAGGCTTGCGTCGCCACTGCAGCCAAACATGGCCAACAACTCACTCGGATGTGTGTAAACACTTTATATTATAATGGGTGATTTTCAAAAAATAGGTTCAGATTTAAATTGAGGAGCCATATTTTGAAAAATATAATTCAGAAAAAAATAGATTTCCAGGAATCTGATTGGATATAAAACTTGATTTACAATCAATTGACCAATAAAATGACTGGAACACTAAAATCATTTTAAGTTATATTTTCGAGAATCAGAACCCACATCAGGAATCTCCGTACAAATTCCTACCTCGTCATGTTGGAATCGGCAGGTAAACTACAGTTCCAGGAAATATAACTATCGCTTGACGTCTGCGAGCCTGATATGGCACCATGTGGTTTACATGCTATCATCTCGTACCTAAAAGAAATGAAATGATGGTTTATGTGCAACGTTTCTGCACTGAATTGGGTTTATAATTATGCTACCATGTCGTGCCTAAAGGAGAGACAAATACTGTAATTTCCTGAAAACAAAAACAAAGAAACGTCATTTCATTCTACCTTTTTTAGTTCAGTAACAATACAATGTGTTGGAGAACGTTTCTTTTGGTTTGTTAAGTATCTATATTTATATTATATTATTGAAATTGAGTTCTACCAGCTGGTAAAGTAAATATTTAGATGACTGTATAGATAGCTGAAATTGAACTCTACCAGCTGGTAAAGTAAATATTTAGATGACTATACAGATAGCTGAAATTGAGTTCTATCAGCAGGTAAAGTAAATATTTAGATGACTGTATAGATAGCTGAAATTGAGCTCTACCAGCTGGTAAAGTAAATATTTAGATGACTGTATAGATAGCTGAAATTGAGCTCTATCAGCTGGTAAAGTAAATATTTAGATAACTATATAGATAGCTGAAATTGAGCTCTATCAGCTGGTAAAGTAAATATTTAAGATAACTATATAGATAGCTGAAATTGAGCTCTATCAGCTGGTAAAGTAAATATTTAGATGATAAACTATACATAATACAAATCTTACATAGTAATCCTATTATTTCTCGCTCCGTCAAATGGCACGAACGGCATGGCACCGGTAACCGCTTGAAACAGTGTACAGCCTAACGACCAAAGGTCAGCGTTGTGGTTAAACGTAGCGCTAGACTTTCTGTTGACGAACGCCTTCTCGTACATTGCCGGATGCTGAAATACAAACCAATATTTCTTTCAACTTTGGAAAAATCCAATTATCAAACCCCGGCGTAGTTTTGTCTAGCATGCCATGAGACTTTCAGGATCACGCTCTTTTCAGTTTTCTCTTTTCTGATACTTTGTGATACTTTCAATGTTCTTCTTGTATAGCCACAAATCTCTGTGCTGCTTTTAACCAGCAGATCGAGTGTTTTAGTCGTACATTTTTTTTATTTCTTACTCTTACTGTCTGATGTATCTAACTATAAACTGTGCTCCAGTGTTGCGCTGATCGCACACGTTATCTATGTCAAAAAAAAAAAAAACCGTGCGTCCAAATGGAAAGAAACATTTTAGTTACCAAATATTCTTCGGTTCCTGCAAGCGACATGAATTCTTCATCACAGTTCCTCATCATTCTGCTGGCACCAAAATCAGATAATTTATAGATCGTCCTGCAATAAAATAGATAGGAATCAATTCCAGGAATTGTATATGAATAGCGGAAATCTTGGATAATATTGGGATATTTTTTGGCACTTCTCGCATGAGGAGTCAACTACTTTACAGTTCTTTCTCCCGATTTTGTCATGCTTTTGGAGATTTTTGGCTGTTTTGCGTGTACAGATATATTTTTTGCAAAGGTTTCTTGATGTTATAAGCGTATTGGAATGAAATAACTTCCCCTTGCCTTTGGTCAAATAAAGATAGGTCTACCTATAAGGCTAATAATAGATTCCCGGGATTTAATAGTGGATTGACAAACATTGGAATTGGAATTTCCAGTTTAAATGTTTTGTTTGTTTCCAAGACGCCCATTAACAATGTTTTTCAATCATTAATTGCTTTGTAATGATATCTATATATCTATATAATATCTAAGTGCTGGTCTCTGAATAGGATATATAGTATGAATATAAATATATGTAAGTGCTAGTATGAATTGTAAATATTATGTCTTGTTTTTTCTTTAAAGCAGTTGACACCCTGTTAACGTCACGGTGTTTTTTTAAATGCAGTGAACGTAATATTAACGTCAACTTTTTGTAAAAGCCTATCTGATTAAGCATAAATTTTATAATAATAGCCTACATGAACATAAAATCAATTTCTGACCTTATGCCTTTCACATCATGTTCCTAAGAGATTTCTTACATGCGTCTGTAATCTTGATTTTTGACGCATTCAAATTTCGATACGAGTGGTTTTATTTTTTGGTCTCCATTGGAATCTAGCGAGATAAATACCGAGGTTGCGTACTGCCTACTCTCCCACCAATCAGAATCATTTTTATAAAGCGAGTATCGTTGGAAGAAATATTCACTATACCACAATTCATAGACGATACTTAGACACGGATTCTGATGAATGAAGACCGAAAAAATATACAAAATTGTAATCAACTAGTAGATTTAGTAAGATCGCGACTAATCCAACATGAACGTGGTGAACGTGAGTCTTTATAATAGAAATATGTAATATATTAATCTACACGGTGTATGACTTATTATAATATTCGTGTTTAAAGTTCCGCAAGCTTTGTAATATTGGGTGTCGTATAGCTAACGCCCCTCACGATCCAAAATGCATCACAGGATAATTCAACCACTTCACTGAACTGAAGCAGTTGCATACAAATAAACGCTAATAAAAAGAAAACGAGAAGTTCAACAAATAGAGTTTTTAAATATAAATAGTTCTTGTTATATAACCTCATTAGAACACTCTCCAAGGATTTGTCACAACATCAAACCGTCGCTTTTTTGTAGGCTTGGTTGTTTTTTCTACATTTTTGTAAACATATTGAAGCCAGTTGGTCAGGTTTGACATTGACCCTACCCTGCCCGCTTTAAAATATTAGTTATAAGGAAATGCCATTTAATATTGGATCCCATTTTATTTCATTTCATTGAAATTATCAAGTGTTTGAGCTCGAAATAAGGAAAACAGTTTGACAATGAAAATTAACTTATTTAAGGTTCGGTTACTTCCTACTTCCGGTTGTGTATGGACATCAAAGTAGTTGATTGACATATTGTCGTCTGTCTGTTTGTTTGTAAAAAGACTATTGTAAATCAAACAAACCTTACCTTTTATCTGATGTCACATGACGTAAAATATTTCCTGGTTTAATATCTCTATGGATACAGTTGTGTTGACGTAGATGTTCTAAACCGGAAGCTGAAATATATTGTAAAATTTGGTTACTGGGGAACCGCACGTGTTGGCCTTATATAGCCCTTTCCGATAACTAGGTTATCTCTCCTTAATAAATCGGACTCGGTCATTAGCTAGAAATCTATGCAGCGATATTCTTCTCGAACCAAGTTGTTTTCCTACATACGCAGCAATATTTCTTCGTCTTGGAAGGCATCGTTCATTTGTTGACGTTGTCAACCAAGCCAGCCGAGTAGCCCCCGGAAGTAGCAGACGGCAATTGTTGCTAGCGCCACCTGGCGGGGAAAATGCGCATTTCAGGGGGAGATAACCTAGTTTCCGGAAAGGCCTATAGGACATTAAAGGGAAATTATTTTTGTAAAATAATCTCAGACATTTTATTGTAATTTCCTTGTGATTTAGTCATAACCTTTTCTTGGATTTGACTTTTTTCTTCCCGAAAATCTATTATCTTCTAACCTTGATATAGTTTAAATCTGTTCTCGTGCATACCGCGTGATTTCAGGGAAGTTTTTAGATTCGCTTTATCACCCGTCAATGTTATAAAGTAGAGTGTAATATCTTACATTACATTTAATACATTATATTGCTTCTTGACTTTCAAATAAACTATCGCCCTTGAAAGAGATGAGATTCAGGCCCGTAGATCGCCCCCTCCCCCTCTCATTCTCCCTCTCCCTCCTCCTCCCCCAGGTTGCATCTGCCATTGCGTATCAATCCAATGATCGGCATCCAAATTCCGCTTCGTGAAATCTGCTGTAAAATATTCGTGTGTGCCGCTTCGTGATCGGGCGTAAATTCGCATTCGGGTGAAAAAAATTCGCTTCCTCCTCGCATTAGGTTGCTGCCGCCGATACAGTGAAAGCTGAATGAAGATGTAAATTATTGCACAGGCCAACCAGGAAGTTAATAAATGTGTTTAACAACCGTGTTATGTCGGCCGAAATATATTGGATAACAGTCAATTTGATGAAACTTTGGAAAAACCTTTCTGCGTATTTATTTCCCGAAAACCCCCATAATATTATATAACCCCTAATAACATTTTCGCGTCCCTGATCTATACAAGAAGAACATCTGTCTAGGCAGAGTCCCGTTTACACAAAATCTTATGAACAAGTTTGTACTTAGCACGGTAATTCTGTAAGACCCATAGCCAGACTTGATTGTTCAGGGGGCAGTTATATATCTTGAGAGGCAAGTTATATATCTGGAGGGGCAAGTTATATATCTGGAGGGACAAGTTATATATCTGGAGGGGCAAGTTATATATCTGGAGGGGCAAGTTATATATCTGGAGGGGCAAGTTATATATCTGGAGGGACAAGTTATATATCTGGAGGGGCAAGTTATATATCTGGAGGGGCAAGTTATATATCTGGAGGGGCAAGTTATATATCTGGATGGGCAAGTTATATATATGGAGGGGCAAGTTATATATCTGGATGGGCAAGTTATATATCTGGAGGGGCCAGTTATATATCTGGAGGGGCAAGTTATATATCTGGAGGGGCAAGTTATATATCTGGAGGAGAAATTATGTATGGTTTTAAGTTGCAGTAATGGAATTGATCGCTTGTAAAAAAGAAATTGTTTGGTTTGTTAAAACTCTTGAATGACGAGGTATTTTCTAGTCTCTGTATTCGTCAGGGATTTGTATAGCGTCTATTTACATCAAACTGATAATCTATAAAATACTGCAGCTGTATAGCGTATATTTACATCAAACTGATATTCTATAAAAATACTGCGGCGTGGCAGTCAGTCAGTGTAATCTTTGCTCACCATCTGCTTCTAGAAGTAATTTAACATAATGTATGTCGATACTTCTTTCAACTGTGCACATTATAAATCCCTCAACAATTTAAAATCGAAAAAAAAGGGTTGGGTAATGTCGCTTTGTCCTACATAAACACATTTTTATCTTGAATTGAACCATTGGATTGGTCAGATTTTCTTTTCCATGAATATGAATACATGGCTGTTTTGTGGTCAGATCGCAATGATATGTCGACATATGAGAAAACGTCTTAAACATTCTTCGTTTAAAAGTTATAATACTTACTAATATGGTCTAAGAGTATCAGGAATTCTGAGTCTGGTAAACCGTGAATGTTGGGCACTTCTTTTAAAAATGTATGAAGAGAACCACCAGAACAGTATTCTATCACTAGACATGATTGTTTAGTCCGAAGCTGTAATAATAGAAAGGCAACGTTAGAAATTCATTTCTTTAGACAAAAAAAGTACTTTGATATAAAATGATCATTGCCTCGACCAAGAACAAGAATATTGATAAGACAGACAGACAGACAGAGAGAGACAGAGAGAGTCAGAGAGAGACAGAGAGAGTCAGAAAGAGAGAGTCATGGAGAATACTCACGTCTTTGTCTTTTCCGTAGTATTCTATGATATTGGGATGTCGTTTTAACTTCAAGAGGGACTCAGCTTCTTTCATCAGTTCTCTATCCCAACTTCGATCTTTCAGGATTTTTAGAGCTCTTATCTTACCAGTGCCCTGTAAAAAAAACCTCAGGATTGAATCAAATTCTTTTTATGGTCTGTGGAGTGGGGTGGGGTGGGAGGGGAGGTGGTTGTCGAAGGGCAAATGTAATTAGAAAATTATATTAATTAAGAAATACTCTCTTTCAAAAGCAAAATAAGTGTTTAAATTGTCCGGTGCAGAATCCATGGCTCAACCGCGTTCACGGGCCCCCATTCCTAAGGGAGGCCCATCCCAAAGAAAATAAATGTACCAATCTAAACAACCAGCAATATACATGAATAAATGTGAAATAACTTTAACTGGACTGGAAATCTATAAATCTTTCATTAACAGACATTAACGTGACTTACAGAGGGGTATCAGAATGCAGGATGTTAAAGATAAATTCCCAGGGAAGGGGCCCCACCCACCAGCCACTGTGCAGAATAAGAAAATGTGAAGAATTTGGAATAGATCCGTCTTGTTATTTTCCGTGATTTATTTAATATATCAAATTATCGCCCGGGGTTTGCCCCAAAGGACAAGGATTTCCCTGTTATGATTAGATCTAGATAAATACTTTACATGGTACAAACAGTAGTCGGAAATAACAAGTAATTATTTCTTTATAACAAAAGGGTAAAATATTAGGCCATGCAATACCAATCAGCATCAAAATCAGATCCTGAATTCCCACTGATAGACCTGTCTTCCATTATACCCCTTATAGACAATACAACTGATAGACCTGTCTTTCATTCTACCCCTTATAGACAATACAGCTGATAGACCTGTCTTCCATTCTACTCCTGATAGACAATACAGCTGAGAGACCTGTCTTTCATTCTACCCCTGATAGATAATACAACTGAGAGACCTGTCTTCCATTCTTCCCCTGATAGATAGTACAGCCAAAACATACACGTCAGAGGTGCTATACTTGTCAAGGGTGTTTACGTTAAGTTGGGTAAAGAATTCTGACAAAAACCCTAGGCACTTAAGAACTTATGATAAGAAATTTGAAACTGGGGAGAAACGTAGAAACATGATTGAACTCTTGTATGGACCATCTTCATCTTATACCATGACTACAGTGACAGCCAATCAGAGCCCTCGATTTCAAATAATGAGTTGCCTTACCTTTTCAAATCCCAGGTAAACATCACAGGAACTTCCGCTTCCTATTCGCTCTCTGTACAGATGTGAGGTAGTTTGGTGTGTATCGATCTGAATATTGTAACGTGTGTGTAGCATTGTTTAAGACTTGTGTTGGAAATGTTAGCATTCCGAGAATACGGTGGATAAAGATCACGGAAAACGATTAGCATGGAACGAGTAGAGTTCGTGATGCTCAAGGATAAATTCGGGTTTGTAAACCTCGGCTTAATGCATCTTCATTCATGTAAAATACTCTTATATGATCCGATTGATGAATCTGAAATTTCAAAAAAAAAAAATAACAATATATTTTAGTTATCTATACTAAATAGAGATTTTTAAAAGGTTACGAATTTGTTTGCTAGCATGTGTTTTAATCTTTTTCAAGGCTTTTGTTTGCATCATTCCAATTTTGCGTTAGACGCCTGTGGTTACTGTAATTATGGAATTAATAATGAATTAATAGCGTACAGCGTAACTAACGTGTGGCAAAGTGCTAACCATTCCTTCCTCTGATGAGTCGTATTCGGGGAATGGAGCTTTGGCATAATTTCTATTTAGTGAGTGACAAATATAGTATCTGATACGTGGGTGAATATTTCACTTGCATCGGAACAACAATGCTTGTGTCTCATTTTCTCAGTTTCGTTTAAGCAACTAAAAATGGGTACTGAATAAGTCATCTTTCCTCATTATTCCAGTCAACCCAGCTGTAAATGGGTACTGAATAAGTCATCTTTCCTCATTATTCCAGTCAACCCAGCTGTAAATGGGTACTTAATAAGTCATCGTTTCTCATTATTCCAGTCAACCCAGCTGTAAATGGGTACTGAATAAGTCATCTTTCCTCATTATTCCAGTCAACCCAGCTGTAAATGGGTACTTAATAAGTCATCGTTTCTCATTATAATAATTGATTCAGCTGAAAGTTTTGCACAAAAGAAAAACAAACAAAATACAGCATATCTATTCGTTTAGAAAACCACCGACTATTCCTGTAAATTAATAGTTTCGTTTCGTTGCATGAAATTTTAACAATCTATTATTTTAGTAATGTCCATATTCTTTTTGATGTTTGGCCAGTAGACGCTGTAGATCAATTTAGATTTTATACCAATCCGTGTAACATTGACACCACGTAAGTGAGGTAAGACGTAAAACTCCATTGTAAATTATATGATATCTAGATCAAGACTTACCGTTTGGCTCCAATTGAAATACGACAAGGACATATGTTCAGGTCTAACATTATATAGTTATTTATAACCCATTTTCAAAGAAAGCCGACAAAAAAATTTTAATATTTCCGGAAGCAAACATGGGCATTCCAAATTTGTCATAATTTTTTCAAGCCAATTTTGTAAATTAAAGTATTGGAGATATAAGAAGAAGAAGACAGGGTATCTTCGACACCTTTCAATATTACTATGTTTCACTATTATTTGTTCGGTAGTTTAAAATTTGTTCTTCTAACATAAACAGAAAACGAAATAAAACTGAAAGTAGAGAATTTATCTATTTCAAATATAAACAGTCTATATATAAACTATGTGAATACCCTGAAAGAAATGCCGATTTGACGATTCCAGTCGGGGAGCAGAATGAGGTGTTTCGGATCAGTAACAATTCCCTGCCTCGGTACGGGATACTTGCCACGGGATTTCGCATTTTTCTTTTTGGATGGCTTTTACTCCACTTGCCAACTAAGATATGACTTGATTGCTTTGAATCTCGTTTTCTTGGTCGTTTCACATTCAACCAATCAAATGTTCTGTTTATATAAGAATTCTTTGACACGTAAATGTACGGAATTCTGGGATATCCATTGTTAAACATTTTCATGTAATGTCCAAAGACTTACTGTGTTTTTATGGGGTTTAATTTAATAATGACAACTTATGATGATTTGAATAAAAATTCAAATAACACGATTAAAAGAAGAATCTCGCCAGATCATGAATGATTAGTGTTTGTAACCCTCAGAAAAATACAAAACAAAAAGTCCCGAAAAAACGAATATCATGATCAAGAAACTTGTGATTGTCTAAATCGAAAGTCACAACAAGATGACGAGGATATCACGTTTGATTTCGTTTCATCAGAAACGAAAGTGTAGTTACTTCTTGAAAAATAATACAACGATTCATCCAGAATCAAGGACTACTAGATCGAACCACTTTAGATTGTCTCATAACTGACTTAGAAATCAAGGTCCTAGGTAAATTTTGTGTTTTTCTGATAGAAAAATTTCATTTAAACACAGACTGCAAAATTATTTTTTGTTAGATTCCCTAAATATCGAAATATATATGTAATATAAGATGAGGTATTGAGTATAGTGTAAAACTATCTAAATAAAAATAGGGTGATTATGAAAGGTTCTTATAGAATAGTGAGGTGGTATTAAAATATGTTTGCAATTCAAAGCCCTTCCTCGTGTTTAATTTGAATCAGACTGCCCTCTCACGCCTAAAACTATACACCTTTGTATGATTTGAAGGCTATTAATATGTATGATGACTTTTAGAAAAGTGCCACGTGTAGACCGATATCTTTATCATAGTTTTAGGGGAGTGGAAAATCTTTAAAAATCCAAAAGTGGGCTATGTTATAACTATTAAGGAAATACTTGAAGTTTAGATTGTAATTGTGGGACTTTGCTTTCAGCAAAGTCCCAGTTTGTTATCGAAATGTCCATTCTTTTTTTTTTTTTTTTTTTTTTTTTTTCGTTTCGTCCACACCTTCCCGAGCTTAGACTGCAGTAGTTGTAGCAACGTTTCAAATTTCATAGACCTTCTATATAGGTGACGATGTGCATAAATATAAATTGGAACATTTTTGCAAAACCGGAAGTGCCACAGTTCAACATGTGCAAAAAGTCGAAAATCGGCTCTAGAAGGCGCATTTTTGCATCGATTTTCTTCGGGTTTTCATTTTTACAATCTACCTGTAATTTCTGACCTGATAGCACTTGAAAAATTACGAAATTCGAAAATTCGTCGCTCACTTTTTTCGATCAAATTTTTCGATTTTTTTGCAACTTTTTTGCTTTTGCATCGATTGATCTGAAATTTTAAATGCAAAAAGACTTCACTAATGTTAATAATATGATACAGTCAAATTTTGTACGTCATTTCCGATTTTCAACAGGAAAGCGACTGAACTTCAAATCTACTCCCGGTTGAATAACTTCCGGTGTAATTA